TAATGACTCCAACTTCCAAGTCATTTTAGAGGGACAATGAACACCAAGCCACCCTGGGCTGTGAAATCTGCACTGATTTAGTTTTAAGGCGATTTGGGAGAAACCTAGAGCTTCAGTTCCCTTTGTACAGTCAACAAAAAGCGAAGAAGACAACTTGCACAGTTCTTGGTTACTGAAGTGGCCAGGGATGGTGGTAAAAGTACGTTTCTACTTGACAGAACAGGGTCATCAAGAGCTGGCCTTCGGGGAAGCTCGTGTCCCCAAGGAAAGGAAGCTTCCGAGTCAGCGCTGATAAAGTGGCTCATCCCTAAATGACTCTCCAAACAGCTAAGTCTCCGTAGTCAAGCAACGGCGCACAGAAAGCTGATGGGAAGCAGCCCACTCACCTAGAATGAATTCGGTCTCCTGGGTTATAGAAGGGGTTGCACATGACATCTGTGTAGGAATTATGGAGCTTTCGAAACATCTGAAAAAGAGACAACAGGGTTTTTAATTAACACATACAAAGTGACCACCAGGCTGGATTTCTGGCTTCTCAGCATTTTAAGAGAATGGGGAAAAAAAAAAAGGGGAAAAAATTACTGATGTAGCAAGTTGCTTTCAAATTTCCTACACTCACACTGCGGATCTCGTTGTCTCGAAGTGCTGTGTTGGAGGAATCTACCACCATAACAAACTTCACCTTGGAATTCGTCACATAGCCATATCTGTGCAGCTGGTTAGGGAACATGCTTTGAACACAGGGACTGCTGTGATTGCAAATGAAACAAAGCATCAACATGAAGAATATGCAAGCCCGTGTCCATCTGTTCACACTTTCACAGCTCCGTGACAAAACCACTTTGGAAAAACAAAGTGACAACCTTGCAGTAAAACATACAACAGGCCTGACTGTGCCACAGCAACCTGTCCAGTCCGTGTGCATCGCCATTACACACGTGCCTCAGGTAGGATATAACATCCGCATGGGCTTAACATCTCCCCACCCCTTTCAGAGTCTGAGGTTTTGGAGGGTAGGGACCAGGTCTCATTTACCTTTATATTTTCCTGAGGGCCTGGTGTAGTCCCTTGGCCACCAGGGGTGCTTAACTAATGTTCGCTGAATTATTTTTTAATTGTTGTTGAATGTACAGAGGAAGAATCTTATACTGGTTTAAAATTTAGTGGGCTGGCCTATCAGAAATTCACTGCCTATCGGGAAAATTGGAATGTGCTTCTATTTCAGAATGCGTTTCCAGATCCAAGCATCTTATTTGCAAAACTCATGGTTTCAGGAATCAAGAATCCTGCTGATTCTATCTCTGCCTCCAGTCAAATCAGTCAGTCAACAAGGACTCATTAAATGCTTCCTCTGTGCCGGGCACTGTGCTTTACGCTGCATTGTACTCCGGAAGACAGGGGCTCCTTGTCACAGGATCTAGCACTGAGAGGAACCTGGGAGTGCATCTAATTTTTTATGTAAGGAAATCTATACTAAGAAAAGTGAAGTGACTTTCTCCAGATTGTATAGACAGTAAGAGAAGCAAGTTACTGGTTATTCAGAATGACGTACAGAGACAAAATGATGACCCCTTAGCAAAAATGGTGTCCCCGTCAGAAAAAATATCAATGGAACAGAGGAAATGGAAAGAGCAATGAGGCCCTTCTAAAATACCTTACTTTGAGTCTCAGCCACAACACTTCCTGCCTATATGAATGTGTAAAAGTCACCTCACCTCACCTCAAAGGACTTGGTTTCCTTACTGATAAAATGAGATGCCCCAGGCCAGGAAGAAGTCCCAGTCTCCAGGTACTCTATAAATTAGTTTAATGTTAGTTCTATATTGCAACTACCAGGAATGCAAGCCTTGCTTTTTCCTTGAGGCAATCAACAAACATTAAGTGCCCAATGTTTCAGGCACTGGTGATAAAACAATCAAAATTGAAAGTCCCTGTGCTTAAGGAGTGTACATTCTAACAGGAGAAGCAACACGCACATATACAGATATAAACATAACAGACACAAGGTTATTGTGGGGGAGGAGACTAGTCTGGAGAAAGCTTCATGCAGAAGATGGCACTTTGGCTGAGTCTTGAAGGCAGTGAGGGAATAAAGAGGTGGAAGTAAGAAGGAAGAACACTCCAGAAATGGGGGGGCACCAATGCAAAGGTATGGAGAGGAGACGTGGCGTATCATATAACAGGGGGAGCAAACAGGCCAGTTCCCTGCACCCACTTGGCTGGACCATAACAAGGAGGGGAGTAATGTATAATAAGGCTGGAAAGGCAGGAAGGGCCAAGTTGTAAATGCCAAAGAAAGGAATTGATATCTAATCCTAGAGGTAACAGTGAGTCACTTGAGTTTATCAAGCAGGGAGCTGACATTGTCAGGGAGAGGTGTACTTTAGGAAAATCACTTCGGTGGTTGTGTGGAAGATGGACTACAGAAAGGGAGAAATCTGGGAAGGACTCAGGAAGGATGAAGGGAAGGGGCTGTGAGTGGATGAAAGAGGAGACAGGAGAAAAAGTTAGGGGATAAAACTGATTTCTCAACAGACTGGATACGGGAGGGGGAGGAAAAGGAAGGCACTGAGGACATCCCCTAAGCAAAGAAGTTCTGAATTACCCAACAGAGGAAAAAGCGGCCTGAATTAGCAGACTGTCTATTTTCGTGGTTCTAATTAACTGGATAATGGCTAATTCTCAAATGGTAGGGGCACGAATCTCGTGCCAAGATCAACCAGCCCTCAACAATCTCCTACAACCACAAAATGAAGCTCCATTTGTGGACACACATACGGCCACTTCCTTCATGTACAAGACCCCCTGTGGGGCATCAAAAGATACACTTTGTAGTCTTCTGTGGGGTACAGGAGTCCCAGGTAGAGCTCCCTCTGATCCACGAGGGCCTTGCCCATTGCAGAGACCTTCTCGTCGACCACATCAAGAGACGTGTGCACCGTGTAATGGAACTTCAGCTCGTGCTCAGCAGGGATGCTTCGGATGTAGAGCGGGTAATTCTGCAATAAAGGATAAAAATCTACTCTGTCAGCAATTTGAAACATTGCTACAAGGGACCATTTTGTTCCAATGTATCATTCCTCAAAACCAAGACTGTAACTTCTTCATGTCCTACCTAGAGTCTGAGTCAGTCTTTGAAAGGAAGGGAATATGCATTTATTAAGTAAAGATACTAATAATAGCTAACATTTAAATAGTGCTTACTTTGCTCCAGCCACTGTGCTAAGGGCTTTTACAAGTATTACTTCCTTTGATCTTCACAACAACCCCGGAAGGTAGAGGCTGTTATTATTCCCATTTTACAGTTGAGGAAACTGAGGCACGGGGTTAAGTGACTAGCCCACAGTCACACAGCTAGGAAATGTCTGAGGCCAAATTTGAACTCAGGTCTTCTTGACCCTAGGTTCAATGCTCTACCCACTGCACCACTCAGATGCTGGAATAAGTTTATATTGCCTCATTGTAGCAGGGTGGAAAGAACACTGATTTGGGAATCAGAAGCCTGGGGTCAAGTCTCAGCTACCACTCATCGGGCAGTTGGACTGATTCCTAAAGTCCCTTCCCATCCTATATATTTTATCACCATTCAGTACTGCTGTGAGTTTTAGGATTGGGGGTAACTGTTGTAATTTAAACTTCCGTGGCCTAAAATTTTTTTAATTAATTAAAGCATTCATTAAGCGCCTACTAGGTTCCAGACTTATTACACGAGAGGCAGTGCAGCAGAATTGCCTCCGACCCTTTAAGAAGGAGTCACACAGGCAGCTGGGTGCAGTCTTCTCACACCTTCCCCGTGGGATGCTCTTAGATCCAGTGACCCTGGCCTCTGACTGTTACATGAACAAGGCCCTCCAGCCCTCTGCATTTTCTCTGTCTGTCCCTCATGCCTGGATCTCTCTGCCTCTTCTGCTCCAGTTACTGACCTCCCTGGCTTCCTTTCAGTGACAACCAAAATCCTTTCTTTTACTGGAAGCTCTTCCTGCCCCTCTTAATTATTTTCTACTTATCCTGGAGATAGCTTGTTTGTATATATTTGCTTGCACGCTGTGTTATATTCAATTGTCTCCATTAGATTGTAAGCTTCTTGAGGGCAGTGACCGTCTATTGCCTCTTTTTGTATCCCCAACGCTTAGCTGGGTGCCTGGCACATTGTAGATGCTTAATACACGGAATTGAACTTAAGTGCATTCAGTCCTCCTAGGGCAGTAGCGAAGACTCGGGTTCAAATCCTCCCCCAGACACCGGCTAGCTGTAGACCCTGTGCCAGTTACTTGCCCGCCGACTGCCTCAGTTTCCCCATCTGTCAAACGGGGGGGGGGGCGGAAATCGCTGCAGCTGGCTCGCCTGGCTCCTTGGACGCCTCCCTCAAGGCTGGCTGTTGGGAATGTCGTGACTTTAACCCTCAGGGTTCCGCCACAGAGGAGGCGCGCCCACCTGCGCGTCCTCCCCTGGGAGTGTCCCCAGCATGTCCAGGCCCAGCCCCCGCTGGCCGTGTGACCTTGATCATGAGACCTGGGCTGCCCCCGCCCCGGCCAGTTTCCGAGGGCTCTAGGGCGGGGCCGGGAAGCGCTTCGGGGCCATGGAAGCGCAACGGGGAGGAGGGCGGAGCAGGGCCGAGCTCGGGGGCCCACTCGCGGGGGCCGACTCCGTCCGTCCGTGGGGAGGGCCTCGCTGCTCGGTAGCGCTTCGGCGGAGACAGTAGGAGGAGGCCAGGCTGCCGCCGCCGCCGCCTCCCGGAGGCCCCGGGCCCCGACATCCGGCAGTACTCACCTCTTTGGCGATCACTGCAATACACACCGCCATCTTGGTAGGGGAGGCGGAGCCTAGTCACGTGACTGCCCTCTCACTTCCCGGCCCCATAACGTGCCCAGCTAGAGCCTTGCCCCGCCCCCGCCCCCGCCCAGGCGGACTATGAAAGACCGGGAGCCCTGTAATGTGCGCAAGCGCGCGCTTTCAGCCTCGCTCTCGCTCCGCTTCCCCTCCTGCCTCAGCCCGCACCTCCCCGGGACTCCTCGGCCCCCGGCCCGCTACGCGCCGGACTCCGCGCTACCCCGGCGTCAGCGGTTGCCATGGCGACGGTTGCCATGGTATTTGGAGCGAGCCTGTTTCTCGGCTGGGCTTCACTGGGGGCGGAGGCCGACCCCCAAACCCCCAACATCGTGCTCCTCCTGATGGACGACGTGAGTCCGGGGATGGGGTCAGGGGTCCAGGGTCCAGGGTCCGGACAGAGTGACTGGGGCCCAGGCGGGAGGAAGATGGTGGTTCCTGTCCACCCCAACCCGTGCGCCCCCTCCCAGACTAACTCCCCCACCCCCGACTGGTATGGGGAACTCCTAGGCGAGGAAACACCCTCCACCGGTGCAGGGCTGCATCCTTCTGCCCAAAGACTTACATGGCCCGGAGCTCAGAGAGTCCAAGGGACCTGCCCGGGGTCACCCAGCTAGTCAGAACTTGAATCCAGATCTTCTCGACTGAGAATTCTGCTCCATGCGCCTTCTCTCCAAAAATAATACGCAGCGTGGTGTCTTGGGGAGGTCTCAGGTTCAGATCCAGACTCTGCTCTACCTAGGAGATCTTTTAAAATTTGCTGGACCTCCGCAGGCCTCAGTTTCTCAATCGGTAAAATGGACTCTAGGTGGCCTCTGAGGTCCCTGCAAGCACCAAGTCTTGAATACCCTCCCCCTCCCCCCACACACACTTTGTTCTTTCTAGCCCAAATCAAGTGTCCCCTTCGGGGAGGAGAGAGAGGGATGAAGGGGGAAGAAAAGGAGGGAGAAAGAAGGCAAGAGATGGGGGAGAGAGAGGAGGGAGGGAAGGAGGGACGGAGTCTTGGCTAAAATTTCACCTCTGCAAGAATCCCTTCCCAGTCACTTCCCTCTGGGATCATCATCAATTTTTCTTGTCTATCTTGTCTTGTCCATATCTTGTTTGTACATAGTTGTTTGCATGTTGTCTTTAGTCATTAAACTAAACATTTTGCCTTTACTTTGTATCCCCAATACTTAAGCACAGAGCCTGGCACACAGTAGGTACTTAATAAATGCTTGTGGACGGTTAAAATTATAGGATTTAGAGGCCAACAAGTATAATCCTGGCTTTTTACCGAGTAGGCACCTGCAGCCCATTGAGTGGAAGGAATTGGTACTAGAACCCCATTCTCCTGACTTTGGTACAGTCCTTTTTCTGCTCTGCCAGTCATAGAAACAGGGTTCAGTGCCCCGTGTTAGTCTTTGACAAATCCCTTAACTTCTCTGGCCTCTTTCCCCTCCTCATCCCCTGTCCCTTTCCCCTTCTGTTAAATAAGGGGGTTGACTGATTCCAAATCCTATAATTCTTCCCTGATTATTCTTAACAAAGTCCTCAATTCCACAGTTAAACACTTTTAAGCACTCACTGTTGCTAAACTCTGTGCTAAGCTTTGGTGATAAAAAGACAAAACCCAAGCTTCCTCTGGTCTGCAACTTCCATTGTTCTGGGGCAAGGAGTGTGTATGTACAATAATGTAAGGTGTGTCCAATAATAATAATATGTATATAACATATGATAATATAATATAGTAATAATACTATAATAATATATGTATGTTCAATAATATAAAAGGTAATTTCAGAGGGAAATTGTGTTGACAAGTGGTGAGATCTGAAAAGGCCTCTTGTAGGAGAAGGCTCTGAACAGTGAGTGAGTGGATTCCAGACCCAAGGAATGGCTTGTGCAAAGGTAGAAAGGCAGGTGATCCGGGTTGCTATGTGCCAAGAGCAGGTCAGCCATCCGGTGCGACTGAGGAGGAATTGGAAAGGTGGATGGGAGCCAGACTGGTTAGGGCTCTAGATGCCAAGTTGAGGAATAGAAGTGATGGAAAATTTGTGAGTGGGGAGGTAGTGACATGACCAGATCTGTGTTTAAAGATAAATCTGAAAAATGAATGGGAGAAGGGAGAGATTGAAGGCAGAGACCAGTAGATCTGGTGAGAAGGGCAGCAGGTTAGGGAAGATAGTGAAGAGAAGGCAGATTTCTCCTGCTACAACAAGATGACAGCTGATTGAATTTGGGAGTGAGGGAAAGAGAGAGCCATGCATGACTCCAAGATTGCCAACCGGGAAGGAGAGATGAGACTGGCAGAAAGTAAGAGTTCTATGTGAGACCTGTTGGGTTTGAGATGCGTACATGACGTCAAGGTGACAACGTCCAACTGGCAATTGGTAATACAAGTCTAAAATTAAGCAGGGAGAAATTTGGGCTAGAGATAACAGTTTGGCGGTAATCTACTTAGAGATGATCATTGAACCCATGATAGCTGAAGAGGTCGAGGAGAGAAGAGAGCCCAGGACGTCCTCAGACCTCACACATCACTCTTTTTTGTACCTCTCTGCTGTCCTTCTCCTGTAATATATACATTATAGAATCATAGACTTAAAGTTCTTAGCTGACAGATTCTCCAACCCTCTCTGTGCACAGATCTATTTGAATTTATTTATCTGTGTTAGCAGTAAGCTGCTTCAGGGCTAGCAGCTTATCCAGCCTCTCCCCTAGCACCTTGTATCATGCTGATCATTCTGTAAGCCCTTAAGAAATAGTTGTTTGAGTGAAAGAATGGAGGTTTACAAAGCCCTTTTCCTCACTATTAGCCTAGTGAGGTATGTGGTGTATTATTATCCCCATTGGACAGATGAATAAACTGAGACTTGGAGAAATTAAATAACTTGTCCATGGAGGATAACAGGTTTTAAAGGTGGAAGGGGCCCTAAAAATCATCTCATTCAACCCCTTTATTTCTCCAGAGAAGAAGAGAGGACCGAGTCCCAGAAAAAAGAGGGAAATAAGCGTTTGTGTAGTGCCTCCTATGTGCCAGGCACTGGGCTAAGGACTTTTACCAGTATTATATGATTTGATCCTCAACAACCCTTCGAGGTCGGTACTATTATTATCTCCACTGGACAGTTGAAGAAACTGAGGCAAACTAACCATCTGCCTCTAATGACTTATACACCCGTGCTAAATCCAGTGTTCAGTATGTGTCTGCTCTGTGCAGGGACGGGAACATGAGCTTAGAGGGATGGCATCCTAGATTTCAAACCTGGAAAGAAGTTTAAACACAGTGGCGCGCACAGTTGTGTGGGTTGTCCTCAGTCGTCCATGTGTGCCCCGGTAGAATGTGGGTTCCTTGCAGCTTTTGTCTTTGTATCCCTAGCACCTGGCATAATGCCCATGAAACACTTACTGAATGGTGATTGCATTTGTAGTATTTCTACTCCAACTTTCTTATTTTGTATATGAGGAAACTGAGGCTCAGAAAGGTTAGTGATGGGGGGGGGCCCTGAATCCCGCCTTCCTTGGATCTCTCTCCTTTCCGCTGGCAGAGTGAAGAGCAGAGTATGGACCAGATTTGGAGTCTGAGAACCTGGGTTCAAATCCTAGCTCTGCCGTTTTGACGGCTCATGGGACTGAGCAAGGATCTTCCCCTGCCTGGGCCTCCATTAAATGAGGGCATTGGACAAGATGGCTGGCCTTTGAGGTCTCTTTGAGTCTGAGAGGTCTCTTGTGATGCTCTGCCGCCTTCTGGGCATGCATGGGAGAAAGAAGAAAGGGCCGGGAGGAACTCAAGGCAGAAAGAGGCTTATGGTGAGAGAAGGCGGGCTGCTCCCCACCGTGTGCCCTCACACAAGTCACCTGGGGGAGATGGCTGGCTCGGCTCCTCCAGATAGCGCCTTCCAGTGTGACTAAGACAGGAGCGGGTGCGGCCGGATCCTGCCCTGGGCCCAAGTTTTCCAGTTATTTCCAACCCTGAGTTACTCAGTACTCTTTTAGCCTGGCCCCAGGGCTAGATTAAATCTGAAGCAGCAAGCCTCAAACATCAGGCTAGGTAGGTAGTCATAATCCTATCAAAGCTTTGGCATAAAACCAATGTGATATTATCCTTTAGTTTGATTCCATTGGGAAAAAACACATCTTTACCTGTATTTACATTCACTGTGTTTTTTTTCCCCTTACTTTACCCATTTAAAGGGTGGCAGATGGCCTTCATTTAATTTTGTCTAGCACTCTGGGCCCAGAAGGAGCAAGGAAGGTCTATTTGAGATTCAAAATGATGGAGACTAGAAGAGAGTAGTCACCAAGGCAGGGTTGGGGGGAGGCTACCCCTTGGAAGGTGGGCAGATGGCTCAGATCCCAGTGGCAGGGCTTGTCTCCGGCCCCTATCCTTCCTTCACTCTCCACCTGCACCTCCTCCCTCCCCTGTGCATGCTCCCACCTTCCCCAGCCCTCTCCGCTCTTCTGGGGACAGTGGGCAATGAGGCAGAGCCCCCCTGCTTCTCCATTCTTTGTTAGGAGTGAGTCAGAATGACTTGCACCAGAGGAGCAGCCAGACTGCCAGCCTGTTCACTCAGGGGCCAGATCTTGTCGCTTCTGTCTCCTCCACCCCTGTCCGCACCCTTCTGCCAGCACACGGGTTCAGGCCATTGTCACCCTTCATCTGTATTACTGCAGCAGTCCTATTGTCTTCCAGCTCCACTTATCTCCCATCTGACCCGTTCTCCACAGGTCCCCCGAGACTTGTTGTTCAGTCATGATGCTCTGTGGACCGTAGCACACCAGTACTGTCCACAGGGTTTTCTTGGCAAGGATACTGCAGTGGTTTGCCATTTACTTCTCCAGTGGATTAAGGCAAACAGTGGTTAAGTGACTTTCCCTGGGTCAGACGGCTAGAAAGTGTCTGAGGCCATTTTGGAACTGAGGTCTTCCTGACTCCTGGTCCAGTGCTCTATCCCCTGACCACCAAGTGATTTAGCTAAGCTCAGATCCAATCAGGTCACTTCTCAGTAACTCCAGTAGCTTCCTATTGCTTCTGGGATCAAACATTACTTCATCCTTATCTCATCCTTTTTAATTGTTATTTTTGTATAAATTTTATGAAATACTAATTATTTGTTTGATAGTCCATGTATATAATCTACAAAATAAGTAAATATACCCATATTGGGATGCATGCTCAAAAAACTCTTTTGATAGCAGTGTAGGAGCCCCAAAATTTAGAGACTGCTGCCCTTAGAAAATAAGAACCACCTCTTGGTCTACCAGTCACCTCTAAAACCACACCCAGAGTGTTTGTGTAGCTGTGTGAAGATCCCCTTGAATGTTTCAGGTTACTGATTATTCTAGTTAAGTTTCCCCAAAAATTAAATTCAAAAAAGTTAAGGGAGACATTATGTAGAAATAAAGCTTTGCAAAAGACACCAGATAAATAAAAATATATACATAGGAAATGAAAATGTATATATACATTTTAATATTATATGTATATTTACCATATATGCATGTACAGTCTTAACACATTTGATTTTTCTCATAAATAGAGTATGAAAATTTGACAGAACTAGTCCTCTAAGGTCTCAATGAATTTTATTGGTTATTGGGTTCAAAAAAAGTCTAAGGTGCAAAAGCAGCCAGAGAGAAAAGCTTTTGGCCAGCCGCAGGTGGATCATTTTTCCCTTCTGGATAATGTCAGCCTCAAAATAGCGTCTTCTCTGACACCCTGTAGAGACTCGGAGTCACCGACTGAAGTTTTCCTGCTCCCTCATTTTAAAACACGAGTTTTAAAAGATTTGTCAACGTCCACTGGCTCACTGTGGCTTTTCTTCAACTTCTCTTACTCATTTGAAATGACTCGTTTCCTCTTTCTGGGCTCCGTCCCACAACGTCCTTTCCCTTTGGTAACTGTGAGAGAGACGGTTCCTAGGTTTGTGTGAATTGTTACCGAGATTCCTCATAAAAGAAGTAGGGTCCTGTTTCTGGGAAAGAAGGCAGGGAGAGGAGAAAGTGTACAGGGGGGTGATATGCCAGGGTGGCCATGGGTGGGCAGTCTTCTCAAAGAGCAGAGGCACTTTCTCTGCTCAGCCATTGACTGTACACATAAGAAGCAGGTGTCAGGGAGAAAAACACCTTAATTGGATTCTGTTTTTTAAAAATTTGCCATTTAAAATTTGAATACACATTTAGATGCTGTTAGACTGTGAGCTTCTTGAGGGCAGGACAGTCTAGCCCTTCTTTGTACCTCCACATCTGCAGTGCACAGTGACTATTTTTAAAAAATCTTTTTGAAATGCAAATTTTTCTTCTGTAGTTTTCTTTTTTATACAAATATGGATTTGCTTAAAATGAAGTCTAACTACTGCAGAGTGCTCACTGATAGAATTTGGTCAACAGTGTATGGCATGAGCTAAGAGAAAAAATATATACATATACACACATGTATAAAATATATATTATGCATACATATATACATATATCCAAACATATCTTTGTACACACATACACACACACACACACTTAAACACACATACTTTCTTTGTATCACTTATCACAGTTCCTGGCACATAGTAGCCGCTTAATAAATGGTTATTTTGACTGAATTAGACCGATCTGTGCTCTCATTAGTGTGAATTGCAACTTATCCAAGCCATCTTATCCTTTTCTCCCCAGAATCATTTTCTATGCATAAACATATATTTTTTTTCATTTTAGGAGGTAGATAGAGCTCTAAGGAGAGGGGAAATGACCTAGTGTATCTTTTTGTTCTGAGTTGGGAGAAGGGGTTGAAAAATTGATGGGCTGGACAAAATGGGGAAGCAAGAGCACCCAACATTTTGCCAGACTCCTGGGATTTTTCCTGTTTCCTCTCTACGGCTTTAATAGGAATATTATTAAAATGATAGTAGTAATAATAACAATAATAATAATACCTTATATGACACTTTCCTTAATACTTTATAGATAGTATACAATCCTGAAAATATCTTATAGGGACATAGTGAAATAATAATAGTTTAATAATAATAATAATAATAATAATAATGATAATAATATTTTGTGTTTATGTGATACTTTTCTTAATCCTTTGCAGATAGTATATAATTCTGAAAATATCCTTGTAGGGGCATAGTGAAATAATAATAAATAATAATGATAATAATACTTTATGTGACATTTTCCTTAATACTTTACAAATAGCATATAATTCTGAAAATATCCTTGTAGGGGCAAATATTATTCCACATATACTATAGCAGGGATGTGGAATAGAGAATTGTGATATAATATATGATTGTGACAGGTTATCTAGAGTTACCACCAGAAGGTGAACCTAAGTCTTCTGACTCTCAGCCCCCCCACCCCAGTCATGGAATGAACTGATCAGATCCTCCTTCCTGCTCTTAGCCCATGAGGTACATACCCTGTTGACCAAATTCTATCAGTGAGCACTCTGTAACATTTAGACTTCATTTTAAGAAAATCACATTTGTATAGAAAAGAAAGTCGTAGGAGAGGGCTTTGCATTACAAAAAGATATTTTTTTTTTAAATAGCTCCTTGTGCATTGCAGAGGTTGGTTTTTACAGATCAGACTTGTCAGAGACTGAGAATGGGCGACTGCCAGAGAAAGATCAATCGGAAATCGAGGTGAAACGTTTCTGAAATTAGAATGTGAGGGATGAGAAAGTTGAGAAATTGGCTCTCTCATCTGTTGCAAAAAGCCAGGCAGCTCTGAACTGCAAGGTTGAGGAGTGTACATGGAGCTAGTAAAATTGTGGTAGTGAGTGAGGGGTCCGCACGGAAGAGGAGAGTTGTTTACTTGCCCTGTTGTTCCTTCCCTCCTGTAGATGGGCTGGGGCGACCTGGGCGTGAATGGGGAACCTTCTAGAGAGACCCCCAATCTGGATCGAATGGCTACCGAAGGGATGCTTTTCCCCAACTTCTACACTGCCAACCCCCTGTGCTCTCCGTGTAAGTACTCTTGAGCTTGTCCTACTCCAGGGTGGCAGAGTGGGGGGCTCCTAGGCCTGGGAATGCAAGCACTGCGTTTCTGTCCTCACCTGACAGTGAGGGACTCCTTGGGCGGTACCGGGTATCTCAGAGTCCCAGCACTTCCCTTTGTTTTCTGGTCTCTGGGGCTCTGTTTTATATTTTCTATTTTATGTATTTTATATATTCCAACATGGTGCTGAAAACCAGCATTCCTGTGTTTACAGGAACTATAGTCTAGAGGTGGAGTGGTCTAGCAGAAAGAGCACTGGACTTGCAGTCAGGAAAGATCTGAGTTCAGTCCCACCCCTGACACTTTTAATAGCTATGTGACCAAGTCACTTAAATTCTGAGCCTCAGTTTTCTCATGTATAAAATCGTGATAATGATGCCTGTGGTAGCTACGTCACTGCGTTGTTTTGAGGAACAAGTGAAGTGAGGTCTATAAAATGCTTTGAAGACTTTAAAATTACTAGATAAACATCAGGTGGCATTTATCATTATCATCATAACTATTAGAGAGTATTGAGAGCATAAGTCTCTAATCTTTTCCTGATAAGAAATTACTTTGTATTTCTCACAGAATGTTATGATCACTGAAGAAAAGAGGAAAGTGGAAAATATTTCTGACTTAGGAGGGTTGGAAGGGTAGCTTTGAGGGCCACCTCAAGATCCCGTGAGCCTTGGAAAGGGAGGTATGGTGGCTTTCACTGCCTGGGTGATAGCCATTCAGGATCTCTTAGTAGATCGCCATCATCTTGTTGGGGAATCCTGCCTTCATGCCCATTTTGTTTTATTTTTTAAATCTTTTTAAAATTTTTTTATTTTTATTTCCAATTCCAAATTCTCTCCCTCTCTCCATCCCCTCCTCCACCCATTGAGAAGGCAAGAAATACGATACCAATTACACGCATGAAGTCATGCAAAACATTTCTGCATTAATCACTTCATATCCATTTTAAAAGATCTGGGCCCATTAAGCCATTTCTTTTTTTTTTTTCAATATCAATTACTTTATTCTAATCTGAATGTGCTTATCTTTTTTCCTCAGATATTTTATTTTTTCCTAATTACATGTAAAAAAATTTTAACATTCGTTTTTAAAAATTTTGAATTCCAAATTTCCTCCCTCCCTACCCACCCCACCCCCAATGAGAAGGCAAGCAATTTGACATAGGTTATGCTGTGCAGTCATGCAAAACATATTTCCATATAATTCATTCCATTAAACCATTTCTTGTCTTTGTGTCTTTATTTCTCTTTAGCAAGAGCAGCGCTACTCACGGGCCGCCTTCCCATCCGCAATGGATTCTATACAACTAATGGACATGCCCGAAATGGTATGGATTTTTGTCCTTCTCTTACCCTTCAGAAGTCCCTCCTGACCCTCAGTTTCCTTTGCTAAGTACCTTTGCAGAAAGTGTTAGGAAGATTGCCCAAAAGATAGATTTGGCTGTCTTTTCAGAAACGGCTGTGGGGGTGAGGAGGAAAGAAGGGTCCCACTAAACTCTTATTTATCCACATGATTTTTTTGGCTGAATACGTATTTTGGGGAATGTAGATGCTACATTGACAACTTGGGGTTTAAACCGTTACACTGCTAAAAAGAACACCCCCTCACCCCCAAATAGACAGCTAGCCCCAGTCTCATCTTTGCACTGGCATGTGGCGCCCTTCTTGCTTCTCAGGCCAGATGACATCCTTGCTGACCTAGCATGAAATCTGCCATGGCAGGATGAGGCAGGGAACTGACAAGTGCTAATGACTCTGTCCCTGAACGATAATTTTTGGCTTCTTTCATGCATCTTTTCTGCTGCCTGGGTCCCGATTCCATACCATACTTGGGCTTCATTCTTTTCTGCTCAGTGCCCCAAGGATGGGCTTGGTCCCTAGGCAAACCTTCAGAATGTCTCTGGTGAGGTCCTGTGGGCTGCCAGGCACCGGGGAATGCAGAAGGGAATGAAATGGGGCTCCTTCCCCTAGGACCTAGTAGTAGAAGTGGGGCATGCATACAGATAGCTGTAATGTGAAATAAAATGTGTGTGAGGGAAGTCTAGACCGAGTGCCGTGAAAGCTCAGAGGGAGCAGAGGCTGCCCCCAGGAAGGAGTGTTGGAGCTATCTCCTGAAATTGGAGTAGTATGCCAGCAAGGGCAGGGCCCTGGAGGCCTTAGGGATGGGGCCTGGGAGCTTCTAAGGGCTCAGGTGGGAAAGCAGAGTTTGGGCCGTAGGAGCAGTGAAGACTTCCGCTTAGGGGAAGCCAGGTTCAGTGGTAGCAGGCTGAGCTCAAGGTGACGGAGTTTAGACACATTTTTAAGAAATTTGTTTCCCATGAAATAGGAGAAAAAAGTTTTAGCAAAAAGAGACTTGTCAACTCCCTCAAGTTGATCCTTCCTACTGGTGGGGGAAGGTGACAGAAAAGTGTCTGGAGAAACTTCAGGAGACACACACACACACACACACACACACACACACACACACACACACACA